GTCCCTTGAGCTCTATTCTCAGTAGTTTATTCCTGACACAACAGGAGGGCCAGGATGCTGCATTATTTCTGCAGCCATTTTGTCATGGCTGCTGGGAATTTTGGCAGGGATGTGGTGTGGCTTAGAGTCTCAGTGGTCCCTGTGCTTGGAGCATTTGAAGCCTGTTCCTAAAATCAAAATGGGAAGTTGTTGATTGTGACATTTCTTCCTAGGGTGTAATGTTTTCCCTGTAAATTTAATTTGCGTGGAAGGTGCACCTGTCAGAGGTTTGTCTCATGGGTGTCCCTTCCCTGAAGCATGGAATCTCCTGCCTTCCTCCATCCCCTCCCTGCAGGAAATACCAGATACAAAGTAAAAGGACTTCATCACAGGCTCTTACACTATTCATTATCTTGGTGAAAGCATTCAGAATATATGAGTAAAGTCTTGTAAATGATGAGGAATCCTGAAAAGTGAGAAGAAGGTGGCATCCTGCCTTTCCAAGGGGAATCTGGGCTGCTGAGAGTTCATGCCATGGTGTAAGAGCTGTTAGAAGGAATGAGTAGAACCTGTTCCCCTTTCCCTGGAAATTGCTCCTGGGATTACAGGTTCTGGCAGCAAATTGGCTAAAGAATGATGTGGTAATGCTGCTGGTAGATTTTGGGGTACAGATGCTTCTTCATCACACCAGGACCTGGCTCATGAATAAACTGTGTCTTCAAACAGCTTTGCTACAGCAGCAGGAGTTCCTTTTACAGCTGTGAACAGCAGCCTGAACTTTGCAGCCCCAGCAGAGCTGCAAAGCCCCTCTGTCTGTCCCCCGTCACACTTGTATCACCTTTCTACTGAAATGAGCTTTGTGTGAACTCTGCCCAGGCATCCCTCTGCTCCTGTCAGGAAATGGGTACTTCAAACAATCTGCATTAGTTTCCCAGAGGAGTTTTAGAAAGTCCTCCCTTAGCAAAAGTCTTGGTTTTGTTTTAAAATAATAGCTTATTTCAAGCTCATTTTGGAAGTTTCTCAGGGTGGATAATTTTAACACTTAGAAACAATGAAAATTTTGGATGATCTGTTTGCCAGAATGTACAGAAAGAATTCTGACTTATCAAGACCAGAAGTATTGGGCTAAAAGAAGTAAAGAAGTGACAGCCTTTATCATTCTCTAAATTCACTGTGTGATGTGCTGAGGCCTGAGCAGCAAGCCTGAGCCACAGCTGACTTACAAGATAGATCCTGGGGTCATTAACTCCGTCAATATTTAGCTAAAAATAGACTACAGATACGGACTAGCTCTGTATTACCTTGTGTAGTTATCTGCAAGAAATGTATCGTTTTAGGAAACTTTCCCAATTTACATAAATACAGGCTTCTGTAGGGTATTTGGGGGGAAACTCCTCACAGTCTAGGCCTTGGCTCTGGCCAAGGCCTCACCCTGGCTGGTGGGGAAGTGTGCCATCAGATCCAGGATTTGCTGCTAAAAATACAATCAGGTCACTTCGTCCTTCTTGCACATGTTGCAGCATGGGCACAGCAGGTGGGCCTGCAGCACACACACACACACAGCTGGGAGGGGCCATGCAGCCCAGCTGCTGTGCTTTGGCACAGCAATCATTCATCCCCTAAACGAAAGGGCAGTGGACTTCAACTGCAAAGCCTCTCTTTGTAGTTGGATTGCTTTTGTCCTGCAGCCTCCATGGCAGAGGCTTTGTGGGAGCAAGGGCCATCAGAGCCTGTGTCCAGAAACAGACCCAGGAAAACAAGCAGATCCTGCTGCATTCTGCTACTGCGGATCCTAGCAGCAACTCCCCTGGCAATTCAGGGCACTTCACACAGAGGGCTTCCATCATTTTACTGCTTGTCAGAACCTGTTGCTCCCCAGTTGTCCTGGATTTTGGAGCATCTCGGCGCTTGTGTCCATGGCTCTTCCTTCATCCCCAGCCTGCAGCAGTCACAATCACTGTCGCCTCCCCCTTGCTGCAGCTCATTTGCCAAAGTGCTGCCAAAGGCAGTGGAGCTGGCTCAGGATCCCTGTTGGCTTCTGGTCTCCAGGACGAGCTTCAGAGGGACACTTGGAGCGCTGCCTGAATTGCTGCTCCTGGGATGGGGGTGGATTTGTCCTCCCCAGGTGGCTCCTGCTTGGAGTTCTACTCTCAGTGGATTCCCAAAGTGTTCTCAGCAGGCCTTTGCAGCGAGTTCTGAGCCAACTCTGGCTCTGCTGCCATCCCAAATCTGCGCTTCCCTTGCCCAGCCTGAGTGCAAGTGAGGCATGTGCTGGGCATGGCTGGAGATTTTCATGGCCAAAATCCTCCAGCATTTACATCTGCTGATGGCTTTGGGTAGCACAAATCACAAAACATCCAGTGCAGCTGACAAATGGCATTTCCTGCAGATTGCTACAGCCACTCTGCTGATTGACAAATGCACGAGAAACAATTTCAGTTGGAAAACGTCATTTATTACAAATTGCTACACCCACACTGACAATACAGAACTATACAAATCTCAAGGCTGAAACCAGGAATTTATTAGATTATTGCAACCAGTCTATGTAAAAATATACAAATACCAACTATGAGTTTGCGGGCCCCAAGTTGGGCAACTCCCTGGGGGCTCCCGTGGTGAGGGAGACCCTCCTGGAGCAGTTCTGTGTCAGGAATGAGAGACACATTGGACTTTTTCTGTCTTCAGCTTCTGTTTATTGTTATCTTATCAAAACTTCAGCAAACTGTCTGCACCCAGACCTTGCATGCGTGAAAACAGCACAAAAATGGCCAACAACCTTGTGCTGCAAGGACTTTTTAAGTCTAATCAAAAACTAAATTACCCAATTAAGAAGTGGCACCTAAATTATTTTCCTTTCTAACCCAAAAACTGACCCCTAAAGACCTGCAATGTAGATTTTTCTACCCAATTACAAGATACCACCTAAACCCAAGAAGAAAGAGGAAGAAGAGAGAAGAAAGGAACTTGAGGCAACATCCTCCATCTTGAACCCATCTATAACATACTAAATATCCTAAAACATAAATTCCTCACCCTTGTGACATACTACACTACTCTCTACAATCTGTACAATTTATTTCACACTTTTGTGGTTTCTAGTTTACCTTGAGGCTTTGGAAGCTTTCTCCATGAATGAGGGTCAAAGTCACTGTTCCCCTGGGGGTCAGGACAGCCCAGAGCAGACAGAGAAGTATTCCTGGTGCCCTGGCTTCCCAACTTCAGTTAAAAAATTTCAGTTAACAAAACTTAATTTATTGCCAACCTCTACAACAACTCACTATACACAAAGATAAATTAGGTATTTAACTACTGTGGGAATCCAGGGCTTCCCTCTGGCTGCCCTGGAGGGCCTGGGACCCCAGCAGGGGGTCAGGAACCCCCCTGTACAGAGCCCCGCGTGACACTGTCTCTGATCTCTGTCCATGGAAAAGAGTTTTCAATCTTACAGGATGAATTACAAGCTCTGAGTGTTTGATATGAGTAATAATTAAGTGTGGCACAGGTGCAAAAGTAAAATTTTAGGTTTCTAGATTAGGGGTTCAGAGGGGACAAGATGGAGGAAATTGGGTGTGTCTTGTCCTTTTTCTCCTTCTTCATGCCCTCCATGTTTCACTGTAGTGTTGGCATTTTTCTATTGGTTTAGGCTGGGGACACACTGTTCAACGTAGATGATAGATATTGGCACATTATTGTAAATATAGCACACGTAATTTCTGGTATATAATGTTTGTACCATCCCACTGGGGGCAGAGCCCCGCACGCTGCCCTGCAGGACAGACCTGCGGCAGGGCAGCAGAACATGTTAGAGATAAGCAAGAATAAAAAACCTTGAAAACAGCACAGACGAATTATGGCTTCTTCTTTGGCAACGGGGCAGAAAGACAGAGACTTTCTACAATCTTGGAATCATCAATACCCACAGATTCCGACAAAGCACCAGCAGGTAGAAGGTCCCAGTGCTATCTTGGTTCTTCCTGGGACAGAACTCTCCAGGGAGGTGGTGAAATCACTATCCCTGGATGTGTTTAAAAAAAGACCAGATGTGGCACTCAGTGCCACCGTTTAGTTGAAGAGTTAGGGCATGGGTTGGACTCATGATCTGACTGTGATTCTGTGACTGAGGGAGATTTTCTGCAGCTCTCAAATGGGCTTTGGGGGCCCTTGGCCAAAGACAGGGATCAGAGCTGATGGAAAAGCAAAGGGCTCAAGGCGAAGGCCGAGAGGGCAGAGCTGCCAAAGCGTGGCACAGAAAGAGCCTTATCTCTTTCTCCTCAGCCTGTGCTGTCTGCACTCTGTTTATATACCGGTGGCTCCACTCACTGCAGGGCTCCAGGGTGTCTCGGAGTGAGCGGATCCTGCTTCCGCCAGGTGGGCAAGCTGCCGGTCTCAGTCTCGCCAGCTCCTGGCTGTTGTAATGAACAAAAGAGCCTTCCTGGTTCTCATGGCAATACTAGGATGACTGCTGGCTCTATCTGAGTACTGATATTGAAATGTTAATTAGCTAATTGCTCTGTTTGTTTTCTCTAAACTACCTGGAGATCACCTGCCCCCCCTTAACCATGCTGCCATTCTAGGGCTAAGATGCAAATAGGGGAATCAGTGGAACCATGGGACATGTTCTGGGGGATAAAGACACCCCTAAATGGAGAACTAAACACAGCAGAGGGGGCTGGACAGGTGACCTGGCTGAGGAAGAGGGAAACACATCCCCTGATCGATGTTTGACCTGTCACCATCACCTGCAGAAGACTAGACTGGAATGGGCTGTGGGAAGCAGGAACAGAGAGGCAGATTTTCCTGGTGTTACCATGAGGAAAGGAGAGGGGACAACTGCTGCTGGGACTTCAGCGACAGACTCTGCACGCCTCCTCACCCTTTGGCTACCCGGGAGCCGCAGCGGGGCCAGCTGCTCCTTGCCCGCCCCTCTGCGGCCTCTGCCCGCCGCTCGTTATAAATGACCCAGACCCCAAGTGGGAATGAATTATAGATGTTTTATTGAGAACAATAAAAAAATCAGCAAAGCAAAAGGGACACCGCTGGGTGTGTGACAAAATGCCAGAGGCTCATGCACAAAATGGCAGCTCCACCTTTTATACACCTGATATTGCATCAGCTTTATGCATTGTGAGAAACGACACCTCGCTTCTTAAAATTTTAAAAGGTTTATTGAACTGTGACAAGGGACTGAATAAAGAAAAAGGACAGCCACCCTTATATATCCTACTGCCACACCAACCTTGTGGTAAGCCAGCTCTGCCCACACTCATGCACATGGCACTCTTCCAACCCAGCTCCTCCTTCCTCTTCCTGACCTGATGATAGACCAAACATTTGTTAAATAATTGAATTTTACTTTTTTAAGAATAAAAATCTTTAGGAAAACCTCCTATGGATGTATAATTTTCCTTGACAAAACTTTTGACATATTTAAAATCATGTTAACCTTCCCAGCTCTGCCTTGGGAGATATTAGAAGTATTATCACTTGGCTATCTTTTTCAGAGTTCACAATAAGGGAACTAAAGAATCCCAGCAGAACACAAAAAATGTCCCATGAGGAATGATTGACTTCACCTTCCTCAATTCCTTTTTGGTTGCAGTGCTGTCACCTCAGTAGCACAGCCATCGTGGCAGTGAGTCAGAGAGGTGGCAGCTCTGTGGCCCGCACGGTGCTGCTGGCAGAGCCGGCTGCTGCCTACTCAAGGCTCAGGCAGGCACAGGAGCTGCCTTGCTGCACGGCCAGAACCATCTCGATGCTGCAGTGCAGGCCAGAGGCGCCGCTCAGCCGGAACCTGCAGGACTTGCCGCAGGGCAGCGCCGTCAGCTGGAAATGGCGCGACTGCGGCAGGAGCAGCCAGGCCAACGCCACCAACATTTGCACCCAGCGGGTGACTTTGTCTGGGTCTAAGTAGGAGCCCGTGCAGAGGGTGTCCATCAGATACCACTCCTGGTCTCTGGGCAGCTGGCCACCAGAGGCGTGGAGAAAGCACGTGTGCCCCAGCAGCTGCTCCCCGGAGCACAGGCACTCCAGCCCCACACGGATGCGCTCGGCTGGCAGCCATTTCCTGCTCCCTGGGCTGAAGGAGTGGCCGGGCGGTGGCCGCAGGATGACCAGCGTGCGGTAGGTGCTGCTGCTCTCCTGGACGCTGCAGTTAAGGCTGGTGTCCGTCCCAGCGCCTGGGTGCAGCTCCGGCATGAAGTTCCTCCGGGACAGCACTCGGCAGACGCCGAGGAGCTCTTCCACCAGCTCCTGCAGCACCTTTGTGCTGGGCAGGCCCTGCTGCAGAATCACAGAACAGCTGAGCTTGGGAGTGACCTTTACAGGCTGTCCAGTGTCACTCCACAGCAATGAGCAGGGACATTCTCACCTAGATCAGGCTGCTGGCAGCCCTTTCCTGGATGTGCCCATTGGTGATGGGCTGGGCACAGCCAAAATGCTGCCACCCTTGCCTGTACCCTTGACCTTCTCATGCTCACTGACCTTCTCCTTCCTGCTGGATCCCTCCTGCCTCCTCCTGCTGGCAGAGCCACGCTTTATTCTCCTGACCAGCCAGCAGCCCATGGCAAGAACCTGAACCAGGACTGCTGCACTGACCCAAAGAAGCCACTGCTTTTCCAGCGCAGAGCAGAGCAGGGCTTCCATGGTGCCACTGCTCCCCTCAATCTCCTGCAGGAGCCGAATCATCTCTTGGTACAAATATTCCTCATGCTCCAGCAGCTGTTTAACTTCATCCTTTTCAATTTTTAGATTCACCTTCCCATCACAACACCCCTCTTCCCCCAGCCCAGAGGACAGTGCCCTGCCCTGAGGGTCCCAGCTCTCACTCTGGCTTTAAACCCCCAGGGCACCTTTCCCAGCTCCCATCCAGCCCAGCATTCCCCCTGCTTGTGCACTCACTGGCTGCCAGAATCCAACTGACCTGTGCTGCCCCTGGACACAGGTGCCAGTATCACCTATCCTCTGTGATGTCACAGCCAGTGGGGTGTTGTGATGGTTCGTTGGCCAATCCCAAAAGTGCAAAAAAGGCAAACAGCAGGGGACCATCAGTTTAATCACAACAAATGCACCTTTATTTGGGGCCAAAACAATAAATGTGATAGTGGGATCAGAGAGGAAATAGAAGAAGAGAGACAGAAAAGAGGGGGATGGGAATAGCTACCAACACAGGCCAGATCCTCACTGGTCTGGACAATGGGGAGCCGTCTTGTTGTGTTGGGGAAAGTCTCCAAAGTCCTACCCAACCCAGGCATCCAGTTATAGTCCACAGAGGAAAAAGGGGGGAACATACAGAACAATAAGTTTCTATTGAAACTGCTGTGTGGGAACAGGTGAGTCCACTGAAACCACCAAGCAGGATGAACACAATAAAGAATAAGTCCATTGAAGTTACTGGAGAAGAACAGGTCATGTCAATAGTGGTCACACCACCATTCCCCCTACCCCTCCACTCCCTGTGGAGGGGTCTCACTCTCAGTCCTTAGGGAGACGGTTCTTGATCTCTGTCTGTCACAGTGGTAATGAAGCAGGTGAGGGGTCTGCAGTGAGAGACCACCAGACTCACCCCAACAGTTCATTCGGCTTAAGGATGGAGAGTGAAGTAGTCATTGCAGCAGGCCGCCCTGTGCTGGGTCCATGCCAGGTTTTTGCCAAGTCCTTGCCAACTCCTTGCCAAGTTTTTGCCAGGCTCGTTCAGAACAACTGGCGTGACGGTGCAGTGGCTGCACCTGCACTGTTGCCTTCTCCAAGCTGGAACTGCTGTGGAGGGGGAAAGGGAGTTCCTTCTCGTGGCAATTGGCAGGAAAATGAGTTAGGATCTTAAGACGGCCTCTTATCCTCACCCTGAGTGCAAAGCCAGCCACAGGAGCTCCCCAGGAGCCTGGATTCAGGCTGCAGACATCACTGAAAGGGACATGGATGGAGACTGGAGCTGGATCTTCCATTGCTCACCACCCCTGACTGCCCTCAAGATGAACCTAAACCTCACCTGCTGCAACCTGAGCACATCTACCCTTCTTGCCCATCTGTGAATGTGCTGTTCCCACATCACACACAAGCCCTTTGCAGGGAATGACCAGCTTCCAGCTGATCTGCTACCCTGCCCTTGCTTTTCTGTTTCCCTGCAATGAACTTAACAGATCATGAGAATCCCAGCAGAACATTTGGTTCTCATGAGCTCTTAGGCAAAAAAACCTTCACCAGTCACTATTACGTGCATAGAGAAGGAGATGCTGACAAGCAGAAGGCACAGGCAGGGCTCTGACATAAGAGCTCCTGAGCTGTAGGATTCCATGTATTGTTCTTCCCAGCTGCTTTTCTCATATTTTGTAGCCAGTTCTGGACAGGGCCTGCTGCTGACAGGTAGGAGGGATGTCTCAGCCTCAGCCACAGCAGCTCAGTGTTAACAGTGGGAGCAAACAGCCAACAAAACAAAACCGGACAAGAGAACATCTTCTGCACGGTGCTGAGTCAAGGTTCTGCTGCCAAACCACCCATCAGCATTTTGCACTGACTCAGGATCAGCTACACGTGTTCCTCCTGTTCCAACAGAGCTGGTGCTGGTGCTGTTTGCAGCATTTTCCCCCAGCTCTGGGTAGTTTGTTTAGTTGTCCTGCAGAGCTGGACACATGATGGACCTCAGGGACTCCTCAAGGGAGCAGAGATGATGAAGGAGTTCATGAGGGACATGTTGGATGTGCCAGTGTCCTGAGGGTGCTCGTGGTGCATGTGCCATTGCTACCATCTCTCCTTAAAGCAAGATATCCCTAAATAAACAAGTGCCCAACATGGCATGGTGTCTGCAAAGTGTCAGGAGTCTTTGCTGTCATTGCTGTCCTTTGCTGTCCCAGCTGCTCCTACGAGACTTCTCCTGCCCCACCTTGCTGGTCTGGCTGCCTGGGGCCACACCTGAGAGAAACCAGGGCTGGAGCCATGGTGGTAGTAGCCCCTTTCCCGTGCCTCTCATGTTTTTTTCTTGGCATCTCCCTAATTTTCTATTTCCTTTTCTTTCATCTTTCATGAAAAAAAAAAAAAGTTGTATTATCACTTTGAATTCTCAACATGTAACCTCCTTTGTGTTTTTATCTCATTTTCAGTTATATTTAGAAGTGAATTTCTTTCTGCAGTTGTGGATCGAGACTACTTACCTTAAGCCTATCAGAACATCCCGCTTAGCTACTTCCAAAATTAAAGTCATTGCTCCATAAATTCTAGAAAATTCAATATAAAGATCATCCTTGCCTAAGAGTCACATGTCTGTTGACATGGAGCTTACAACACATCGTTCATGTTTATGTCTACAGGGCTATGTTGTAGTGCTTCCACATCCTGACCCAAATCTGTAATTCCTTAACTGGGGTTTGAATTTTGGATTGCCTTACATCTATCTGTGCATGTGTTTGTGCATCTGCAGGAGGGGGCCTGGTAAAAGTGTCAGAATAACAGCAAGATGTTGCAAAGAAAAGTGGCTTTACTAGAAATGTGTTCAACAAAAACCCAAACCAACAAACTTTAATAGCAAATGGTCTTACAGTCTCAAGTAAACTTACTTCCATTAGAGTAAAATGCTGTGACCTAAGAGCTGTGAAATAGCAGGATCTCCAAGTTACAGGATTAGTTTAAAAACCAAATAAATAGCACTGAAATGTTTAGTTTCAAAACTATACTTTACCTAAATTGGAAACATGACAATTTTTATTTTCCCGTGAGGCATGATGCTAAATGTAACTTCTTTTTAAAAAATACATTGGAAACCCAGGACTTAAACATCTTTTGATCATATGGTGATGGTTAATGAAGAAATTCTTCTTGTGATCTTCTTTTGATCCATCTATAATGCTTAATCATGAACTTATGGAATTTGCCAATTCATTTTATAGCAATTTAACACCTTTACTCACATTCCCAACTTTGTGGTTTAGTTCTGAAAATTGGCTCATTTTCACTGAACAATGCAGCAACTTGTTTTGACTCTGTTGGGCTTTCTGTGATGGAACTTGTATTTTATATGATTTTGTTTGAAAAAATGAAACACTGGGGCAGCTATAGAGCTGTACTTATGTCCCACAGTAAATAAATAAAAATCCATCTGTTTTATAAGACCAGGTTGTACAAAAGGCCAGATAAGGTGAATTACAAGATGGTTAAAATTCAAATATTCTTGAAGCCGTAAGTCTAAAGTCAGTCTCCTCTCGCATGGGAAGAAATTAAAGAGAAAGCAAACCAAATACTGCTGAGAAAGTTTGTCTTATTTCTGGCTGCCCAAAGCAGCTCAGCTGCCTAGTGCACCCAGCCCATGCATCCGCTGCTGAAACATGAATGTGTTTCAATCCTCAAATGAAGTTGAAATCACTTCAGAAAAGTGGTTTATGACACCACACACATTTATGGTGTCAAATATGTTTTATATTCATGACTGTTGGTGGAGCTTGTGCTGCCTGGTTAGGCAGCACATCCTTGACTAAGGCTCATTCTGTTTCTAGTTTGACAAATTATTTCTAGAGGATTTTTTTTCCCCTTCTTAAATTATTTTCAGCTGCCATTGTTACTTCTGTTGTTGTTTGGTGAATTATGAAAAGGAAAGGATAGGAATCGGCACAGGCATAAACAGTGGCAAAGGCTCATTCAGCTGCAGTAATACCAAAGTTTCAAGTGAGTCCACAGTACTACAGAATGGATGAGCAGAAATGCCTCCTGGTGACTGATCAGGGCTCCAGCTGCATAAACAGTGGCCCTGGGCACAAAAGGCAAAGATCCCGGGCTGGGATAAGAAGTTGTTACTGGGAACCACAACAATATTGAGAACAGAAGGAATAAGACAAAGAAACCACTTACAGGGGAAACTGTGACAACACTGATCCAGCTCTTCCAGGCCATGTATTTTCTCCCACCTGGAAAGGTCACCCTTCTCCTCTGGGAAGAGAAAGAGTTCCTTTCTTAGTCTCTGGCAATGACCTGAGGTGGGATCGAAGATAATGATGGGGACACGGCCAGACTCTCATGTTCTTTGGTCCCACCTCGCATCATTGCCGGGTGCAAGCAAAGGGACAGGTGTCTTCCCAATGTGGATCTTGGAGAATGTGGGTCACCAGGTCTTTGCCCAACATGGGTCTCCTGATGGGGGATGAAGCTGGAGCAGAGGACAAAGCTCATTGTGCAGTGGGGGCAC